GTCTGCATTTTAATCTGGTTGACAGACTTTTGACAGAATTAGTTTGAAAATAAGGAGATGTGATATGATTTCTAATCAGACAACTATCCATCAAAGTTCTAATGAAGTGGATGTAAACCCATGGACCTAAAAGAAATTATAAAAATTTTACTTGTAATACATGCAAATCTTGAAGTTAATAACTTTTTTGTACACTAGTGTATGATAACTTGTAAGATAAGTTTTTATTGTTTTCCTGTTTACTGACTAAGTGACAAAGCTGTAGGCAGGTATATCTATGTAGTATCTCTTCTTCCAGTTTTTTCCTTAAAATCCTAAGATTTCCCTTACTGTAAAACGTGTCTTATCTTCATCGCACTTGGGTAGTTTTTTTTAACCAATGGACACCTTTTTTCCAAACTGTACTAAATATACTTAAGCTATTAACAAATTCTCACAAGCATGTTAAAATTTTTTTAAGATTTTGAAAATGTGTTAAAACATTGTTTACCTCTCAAAAAAAATTAAAATTTATATTGAAATGTTACAGGTGTTTTTGGAAACAAGACGAAAAGGATTATTTATTGTAACCTTGTACTCAGACTTTTAGCTATCTTCAGCTTCTTAAATGAGTATGCTTCATGAATTTTAGATACCTGAATAGTAAGTGATCTTTTAAAAGTTACATTTAATACTGTGTTAAGAGGCTTTATAGGATTTAACACTGAAAGGTGACCATTTCTTTTTCCTCTTTTTTAATGTTTAGATTTTATTACTCGCCTCTTTATTGAAACTTCCAGTTTTTATGACCATATAAAGTTCTCACTAGGTGATAGGGAGGATTTCTACATAAAAGCAGCTGAGGCCACAAGTTATAACCTGCTTTAGAGCTTTTTAGCCATAAAATATGTCCAAGTTCATTTAATTTATGGAATTTTGCTGTTAAGCTATATTAGAAAAGCATAATATGATCAGGTAATGGCCAGCCTCAGTAATCTATCTTTTATGTCTAGATAGCATCCTTCCATTCAGTAACAGGATTAAGATTTTAAGTACATGAAGTATGTAGTTTTAATAGCTTAGTTGAACATGCTGTAATGTTGAAGAATACTATGTATGATTGTTACCAACCACAGTACGTGGCTATGTTAAAAGAAAGGGCTTAGTGCCTCGTTCAAGATTTCCATCTTTATTCATGTTCTAATACCCTTGTTGTCTCCATTGTAAAAACATTTAACTTTTGAGACTGTTATTTCATAATTGGTCCATAACCACCATAGAGTGACATGAACAAGGTTTGAATTTTAATTGGAAATATCCAGGTTTCAGACTTGGTTTACTTACTTGGCTCTTGGTCTAATCACCATCAGATATTGATTTATTTACACATTTGTAAGATTGTTGTGTCTTGTCTTTCATTGTCTGGCCAAACTCAAATATAATTCTTATACTAGTCTAGGCAATACCTACCTAGGCTATTTCTAATACTACATTACTTTTGAATCCTTTGAAGGAAATATGTAAGATAAAATAAATTCTCTGTCACCAAATTTCATGAAATGGATTGTATTGTACCCCAGTACAGTCAGGTCTCTTTAGACCTCTTTATAATGTGGATTGTATTGTACCCCAGTACAGTCAGGTCCCTTTAGAACTCTTTATAATGTGGATTGTATTGTACCCCAGTACAGTCAGGTCCTTTAGACCTCTTTATACAGTGGATTGTATTGTACCCCAGTACAGTCAGGTCCCTTTAGACCTCTTTATAATGTGGATTGTATTGTACCCCAGTACAGTCAGGTCCCTTTAGGCCTCTTTATAATGTTGATTGTATTGTACCCCAGTACAGTCAGGTCCCTTTAGACCTCTTTATAATGTGGATTGTATTGTACCCCAGTACAGTCAGGTCATTTAGACCTCTTTATAATGTGGATTGTATTGTACCCCATTACAGTCAGGTCCCTTAAGATTGTATTGTACCCCAATACAGTCAGACCCCTTTAGATTGTATTGTACCCCAGTACAGTCAGGTCCCTTTACATTGTATTGTACCCCAGAACAGTCAGGTCCCTTTAGATTGCATTGTACCCCAGTACAGTCAGGTCCCTTTTGATTGTATTGTACCCCAGAACAGTCAGGTCCCTTTAGATTGTATTGTACCCCAGAACAAGCAGGTTCCTTAAGATTGTATTGTAGCCCAGTACAGTCAGGTCCCTTTAGATTGTATTGTACCCCAGTACAGTCAGGTCCCTTTAGATTGTATTGTACCCCAGAACAGTCAGGTTTCTTTATATTGTATTGTACCCCCAGAACAGTCAGGTCCCTTTAGATTGTATTGTACCCCAGTACAGTCAGGTCCCTTTAGATTGTATTGTACCCTAGTACAGTCAGGTCCCTTTAGATTGTATTATATTGTACCCCAGTACAGTCAGGTCCCTTTCGGTTGTATTGTACCCCAGTAGTCAGGTCCCTTTAGATTGTATTGTACCCCAGTATAGTCATTTCCCTTTAGCTTGTATTGTACCCCAGAACAGTCAGGTCCCTTTAGATTGTATTGTACCCCAGTACAGTCATTTCGCTTTAGATTGTATTGTACCCCAGTACAGGCAGGTCTCTTTAGGTTGTATTGTACCCCAGAACAGTCAGGTCCTTTTAGATTGTATTGTACCCCAGCACAGTCAGTTCCCTTTAGATTGTACTGTACCCCAGTACAGTCAGGTTCCTTTAGACCTCTTTATAATGACTGTCATCACTTTCTTTAGTTCAAATTATGACGAGTATTTCATTTGAAAAATCGTCTGGAACATGCATGAAACATTCGCCACTGGATGTTAACAACCAGCAAACAAACATCATTTAAAATCACTAGTTATATTTAATATAAGTGAAGTGTTTGATGATCCATAATGATGTCATAGAATTTGGTGTTGTTCCTATCTCTTTAACTGGTAGGTGAAAGCTCTAAAGGCTACAGATTTATCTAAGTTATTTTACTGTTAATTACTTTGTTATTTTTACTTCATTTCACTGATTAAGTGTGATGTGTATATTAACTCCAAGATTATTTACTGTCTTTTTTTTTCCCTCTAGGACTTAATAAGAAAAAGTAATATATACCCTATGGTATCCACAGGTGCAAAGTAGGCATAATTTCAATGTATCCTTTTGAACTTGGGGCATGAATCTAGCGTTAATGAAAAAAAATATGATTTATTTAATCTTTTGAACCATTTCACCGCCTAATATTATGGTAGATCTCCTAATTCATATGTCCTTAAGAATTTAGCATCTTGGATACTCTTTCATACATATCAGTCCCTATGTAATTAAAAGGCCTTTCATCTAGGATTATATTTGTTCTATGATGTTGACCACTAATTATCTCTCACATTAATTCTGCTGGCTGAACTTTTTCAAGGTTTTGTGTGCTTATTGGCTGGAGTTTTCATACTGTGATTAGAATTATTGTATTATTTATTGGACAGAAGATGGTCATATCTAGTAGCTGGGTCACTGAACAAACTTTCACATCCAGCCAATCGTAAAATTATCCATTCTTTGGTCAGTGAAAAGTGAGTGCTAGATAATCAAAGTTCATCTTGAATTTCATACAAAACACAGTTCCATTTTTTAAAGAATGGTTTAAGTGTCAGATACCAACTATAATAAGAGAAGCTTAGTTTATGTAAAATAAGTTCTTGTTCAGCATCTCAGCCTTTTGTAAAAATTACCTCAATTCACCTTTCTCAAAAGTTTCTTTTATTTCTTTTAGCTCTATGGTCTTATCGATAAAATCTGGTTGCTTGAGAATACTTGTGTACTAAAACATATGTGTACAAAAGGAATAAATTTACAAAATATTATTGCAATGTAGGCCCAACCCCCCTTTTATGGAGCTACATATATGGTTAATGTATAGACTTTTTACATGTTCTACCTCTAACATTGATCAAGTTTGTCCTCTTTCAAAATCCTAGATCAGCAACTGGCAATACATGTATAGTTACTTATTAGACTATCAAAAAATAAAATCAATGTTGGTTACAATAAAGACAATATTCAAAGATCTTACTACATCGAACTTTAAAGCTGAATTTATTCAAATGAACAGTAAGTTTTTATGGATCATTTCTCAATTTATGAGCTCTATTAACAACATCACTGTACACATCAGGATGATATAGCCAAGTTTCCAAACCAAATTTTTGTATCTATGAAAGAATTTTGTTAAGGTTTTAAGTAATTAAACCTCTAACTTTAATTAGTGCCCTGCCCAATAGCTGAGGCCCTATAGTGATCAGTCTGTCCATACGCCTGTCCGTTCGTCCGTAACAAATTGTGTCTGCTCTATATCTAGAGAACTGTTATGATTTCAAAGTTTATACTTGACATGTATATTAACCAACACAAGAGGGTGTGTCATAATGTATGTACAACTTCCTAGGTCAAAGGTCAAGGTCAAAAACTTTGGTTTTAGTTGACAACCCCATGTCCTATGGTAAAGATCGTGTCCGCTCTATATCTTGAGAACCTTTATGATTTCAAAGTTTATACTTGACATGAATATAAACCAACACCAGAGGGTGTGTCATAATTTATATACAACTTCCTAGGTCAAAGGTCAAGGTCAAAAACTTTGGTTTCAGTTGACAACCCCATGTCCAATGATAAAGATACAAATTTTTTACCACACATTATTCACAGCGAGGCCCACAGATGGCTCCCATCTCAATGATATCTAGTTATACATAAATTACTTTCATCTGTAACATCACTACAAATCAGTATATATGCTCCATTCATATTAAATTATTCAACACCATCAAACTCTGTTTCATGCTGAACATGAGTGTTTTACAGAAATAAACATAAAGCAGACATCAAGCAGCTGTATTTTCAAAGTTCTGTTTCTAAGTATGGTATAGACTGGAAACAGTAGCTTGGGATTTTAAAAACAATGCACTAACATTTTATGAACTTTTGTTTTAGCATACTAAATTTTAATGTTTTATATTTTTCAGGATGAAAATTTTACAAGAAACCAATCAGAAATCACCTGACCATCCCCAGTAAAATTACATCAGGTAATAAAGCATATGGTAGATTAATTAATAAACATATGCTGCACAATTTTATTGATACATAATTAATAAATACAACAGTAAGTGCATCTTGATGCACTTTAGAAAAAAAAATATTGCAGTGTGATGCAGTTTGGGTGGAACTTTTGTTATACTGCCAATATATCAAGCTGTGAGCTTTAGTCGTGTTACATTGCTAAATCCTTTACAATTTATATCTCCATGTTAAATGTGAAGCTTATACACTATATGTATTATTATATAAATGTCTGATATTTTAGAAGAAGATGTCATTTCATAGAAGTAAAATTCAAGATCATGGTACAGCCACAACATCTTACTGCTTGCTTATGATTTAGATTTAACAATGGATCTTGCTATGAAATTACTTAATGTCATTCATATCTCCCAAGTCTTAGGAATAAGGAATTCCAAATGTATTAAACTTCAAGGTAAATTCCAAAAATCCATGTCAAATTGTCAATATACATGTTTACTGGCCAATCTCAGGATAAATGTCCTCAACCAATCATCTTTGGAATAAAGGATGATTGACAGTCCTATTCCTATCTTGGTTCAGACATTTTCTAAGTGAAAGTGGGGAGTTTTATGAATAACAGGCAGTTTAGATGTATTGAAGTCCTTTCTTTCCTCATAATATGTTTCCGCTTACTTGATTTAATTCGGCCTTCCATCTGTTTTATTCGAGTGCCACTGATTGTCTTATGTAGACGAAACTCACTTCTATCGTACATAGTAATAAGTCAGGTATCTCTGATGAGTCTTTATGTGAAGCTGGTTCATGCTTCACATAACTGTCATAAACTTATCAACAACCTAGTTAATAAGAATAGTCAGTTGTTGCCTGCATGGACAGTCTGCCTTACTGAGCACATTGTCCACATTTTCTTTCCCCATAGCAATTTACTGGTTTTTTTTCTAGCTGTTTCATTCTTCACTTAGTTGTCATAAATTCCAGGGCCTAGGTTGATAGCATAGTTAGTTGTTGGCTGCCTTGGCAGTCTGCCTTACTCAGCACATTGTCCACCCACAAACTAAGAATAAAGGAAAAACAGCTTTGCTTATGGTAGTCTTTTACTGTGACCTGCAACTGAAAGTAGCTGTTCTAAAGCTGTAAAATCATAATTTTTTTAAAACCTACTCAAAGAAACGATCTGGGTAAACTTATCGATCCTTTAAATAAACTTATTCTAAAAGGTTACTAATTCAACACTGTAATTAGATCTTTGAATATTGTTTTTATTGGTATTAATATTGATTTTGTTATCAGTAAATTAAAATCAAACTAAATATTATTTTTATATACATATGCACATTCATGGCTCTACAATCGGTCCATACCTGTATCTTGGCATTGCACAAGGTCATGTTTTTCTCTGACTGTTAATGACATCTTAACACTAAATCCATTGGATGTTGGATGTGCACCAATTGATTTGATTTGATTTTGATTTTTGGTGTTTTAACGCCACTTTTAAGCACCGCTTTTGGGCTATTTCGTGGTGGCCAGTTTTTATTGGTGGAGGAAGCCAGAGTGCCCAGAGAAAACCACCGACCTTCGATAGGAAAACTGACAATCCTAGTCAATTAAGCACGAGCGGGGTTCGAACTCACAACCTCAGTGTTGACTGGCTAGTGATTACAGTAGTAACTACTTAGACCACTCGGCCACCGAGGCCCCTGTACCAATTGATAATTTAGTCTTAGATGCATGATTTTTTTTTATTAGTTGTTATTGGCTTTGAACAAGTTGTCAGTAACTGTGAGTACTCTCAGATCTGTACGTAGTTTCTTTTTGTTGTTGGGATGTAAAAGTACCCGTCTGCTTCCACTCTGTGTTTTTGTTAGATGTACTATTTGTATCCATCTGATGAGTTAAGCCTTTTTCAACTGATTTTTATAGTTTGTTCTTATGTTGTACTGTTACACCACTGTCCCAGGTTAGGGGAGGGTTGGCACCTTCAAACTAGTTTAACCCCGCCACATTCTGTATGTGCATGTCCCAAGTCAGGAGCCTGTATTTCAGTGGTTGTCGTTTGTTGCTGTGTTACATATTTGTTATTCTTTCATTATTTTGTTCATAAAATAGGCCATTAGTTTTCTCTTTGAATTGTTTCACATTTGTCATATCAGGGCCTTTTATAGCTGACTATGCAGTATGGGCTTTGCTCATTGTTGAAGGCCGTACGGTGACCTATAATTGTTAATTTCTGTGTCAGTTGGTCTCTCGTGGAGAGTTGTCTGATTGGCAATCATACCACATCTTCTTTTTATATATCAAAAGTTGTATTTATGCAAGTGAAAAAATATGGCTCTCATTCCAAAAATTACATATTTCCAAGTCTGATTTATTCTTCATTGTAACTTCAATCTGAAAAGCAGAACTATAATTGTTTATTTGTTGGAATATGCTAGACTTTAGATATCACTATCAAACAGCTAATCATCGAAAGTATTTAACCTAATTAGTAAAAGCAAACAAACATAGAATCTTAATATTTACAATCCTTACACACCAAGGATCATAAATTTCATTTTCTCGCAGGTGAATTATGGCCTTTCGTGAAATAAGCTTTGCATACGAAAGATTAAAGGTTTACATCCAAGATTTTGTATATAAAAGCTCAAATAAAGTATTGCAATTGAAATTTTAATTTTTAGCTTCTTCAAATCATCTACGATGACATGTATTAAGCTGAATTAGCAAAATGGAGGAAAAAGAAGAATACTTTCTGATTTAAAAATTAAACAAAACAGTTGATTAAGTTGAGACTTAAGTAACACTGTATTTTGACAGATAAGTCCTAGCTAACAAGGCAATTATCCTGTTATCGGATCACAGTACATTTTCATCAATTAAGCATAGCATTGATAACTAGGTACGGGGACCCAGTTCATACCTGGATGAAGAAGATAAAAGAAAGAGTTATATTTTATCAGGCAGGTGTAATTGACTGGAGGACACTTGGATAGCAGTGATATTTAACGGAGCCTTTAATGTTTGATTGAGAGGGAAGAATATCCCAGGTAAGTTCGTTTAAGGTGGAAAAGGTAAAAAATTACATCATTTGATATGTACACTCTGTTTGCATTATGTAAGAAAATTGTTTTCATTAATTCTTTGATGTGGGAACAATTTATCGGGAAGGCATTAACATTGGGGCAAACAATTAGAATTGAAAAGTAAATGTTAGAATTTAAATTTTAGAATTCAAATTAAAATTAAGATACCAACTTGAAGAAGTTACGTTATTTAGATGCAAGGAGGTGCATGAATGACATTTATACCATAGGATGAACGTAATCCTCTAACATGGTTATTATGATATTGTTGAGGTTGTTTGGTTATCCTTTAGTGTTCAGTATCTCATGCAGTATAACATCTTGTTGAACATGTCCCTAAAAACCTCCCTAACTAGGTTCTCACACATTCAGATTAAATTGTGTTTGTAAACTAAGGAAAATGTTGTCATTCTATTTACCAAAAAAAAAGATATTGTACTTTTTTTGAGTTTAGGAATTCAAAATTAGATGATTTAAGATGTATTTGATATCATATAATTTTAATATAATTTTCAATATTAAAAAGTATATTAGGTTTTTTTTAAATTTTTTTTGCTGCAACATATAATGTTTATTTTTGAAAGTGAAAATTGATGCTTAAATTAACCACTAAGCCAATTCAACAGCAAACACTTTCAAATTTAATTGACAAGGCTGTCTTAATTAAATTATTATTAATATGGGGTGTGTTGATATACTGAACATTTGTATGTTTGTATCATCCTTTATGTCACCCCTCACCATGAAGAAAAGTTTGCTGTAATACTAACCCCTCACCATGAAGAAAAGTTTGCTGTAATACTAACCCCTCACCATGAAGAAAAGTTTGCTGTAATACTCACCCCTCACCATGAAGAAAAGTTTGCTGTAATACTCACCCCTCACCATGAAGAAAAGTTTGCTGTAATACTAACCCCTCACCATGAAGAAAAGTTTGCTGTAATACTCACCCTTCACCATGAAGAAAAGTTTGCTGTAATACTCACCCTTCACCATGAAGAAAAGTTTGCTGTAATACTAACCCCTCACCATGAAGAAAAGTTTGCTGTAATACTCACCTCTTACCATGAAGAAAAGTTTGCTGTAATACTCACCCCTCACCACGAAGAAAAGTTTGCTGTAATACTCACCCCTCACCATGAAGAAAAGTTTGCTGTAACTGATGAACTTTAAAAGTTAGAGAGGAGTGTTAACCTCACTATTGAATCTATAGCAAGATTTCTTACTCATTCTGTTTAAATTATACATACTTTACTTTTTTATTCCTGAGATCACTCGTTTAGACAAGTATATAATACAGACTTTGCTGACTTTTTTCTATCTTTTGACCAAAAATTTCTGTTGAGCTTATCAGAGCCTTTTTTTATTTGTTCTCAAGTTTGAACTCTTAGCTAAGAGATCAAAGTTAGTATATTCATTAAAATTTGAATAAAATGCTCATTTTAATAGTTGCAGTGGTCATAGTTTGCAAAATTAGTTCACACACAAACTAATATAGATGAAAGTTTGAAAAAACATTGTAAATAGCTGACACCTTCTCTTGAGGGTTAAAAAAGGCATATAAAAACTGACTTTAAAAGAAACAGGGGTGAACAAAAACACTTTAATCATGTTTTCAAACAAACTGCAGTCCTTTTTTCAATCCATTATACGATGACCACTTTGATCTAACTTTTTTGTGGTTCTTTTAATTATGATTGTTTTCTCTTGAGATAAACATCACCTTACATGGACAAATTAATCTTTTCTTAAGGCCTAATCATTTTTAAGGTTTACAAAACATTGTACATTCACCTTTAGGTATACATGAAAGAAAAGGGCTCTTTGTCTAGACATTAAGGACATGCTACCACACACGATACCAATATATCCTTAAAACTTTACACATTTCATATTTTTATCTAAAAGGTATAATATCTTAATAACGAACTGAATATATATTTTTGATTTATTTTCCATTTAAATGTTATCAGAAATCAAAGAGGTTGTCTTTTCCTATTGAGGACTCGTCAACTGGACAAAGGATTAACTATTTAAAACTTGGAAGTAATAGTTACGAGTTTCTGGACGAATGAATGTCAAAGATTGTTATTGTGATGTGATAACCATTAATAGTACGATTAGTGCAGCCTTGCAGAAAATAAGGATTTATTTGTCAAATTTACACATTGTATAAATTACAATCATCCGAAATGCATTAAATTGAAATTGCAATGAAATAATTTGAATTTATTCCTTTTGTGCTCTTTTAAAATGTAGATGAACCTATTGTTGATGCCATCTTTGTAGATGCATTAAGTTTTCAGACATAAAATAAACAATTTAAAAAGGGCTCTCAGGACTTTTTTTTAGATATATCTTTATTCACTCTGACAGAGTCTCTATGTGAAATCTTTCTGCCTCAAAGACAGTTTTTTCATCATCACTGATTTGTTTTGACAAATTTTGTGTTTAAAATTATAATATTTGGCAAATTGCTGACTACGAATCATTATTTTCTCGCCTTGACGGAGTCAAAAAGCGAGACATAGAATTGCTGTTTCCGGCGTCGGCACCGTCAACAATGTATAAGTTTGTGATTAGGTCTAGTTCATGGTGAACCACTAGTGGTAGGTCAATGATAATTGGTATGCAGTTGTGTGAGCATTGGCACATCTCATTACCATGGAGATTATTTGCGCCACCCTCCTCAGTCAAGGTCTATTGACTTTGAAACTTTGCTTAATTTACATGTATTAGTTTGTGATTAGGTCAGTTTGTGGGGAACCACTAGTGGTAAGTCAATGATATTTGGTATGCAGTTGTATAAGCATTGGCATATCTCATTTCCATGGAGATTATTTGGCCCTGCCTCCTCATTCATGGTCTATTGACTTTAAAACTTTTGCTTAGTTTTCATGTATTAGTTTGTGATTAGGTCAGTTTAAGGGGAACTGTTAGTGGTAGGTCAATGATAATTGGTATGCAGTTGTATAAGCATTAGCACATCTCATTTGTATGGAGATTATTTGGTCCTTACCCCTCAGTCATGGTCTATTGACTTTGAAACTTTTGCTTAGTTTACATGTATAAGTTTGTAATTAGGTCAGTTTAAGATGAACCACTAATGTTAAGTCAATGATATTAGGTATGCAAATGTATTGGCATTTGCAAGTTTCATTTCCATGGAGATTCTATAACGCCATCCCCTAATTATGGTTCATTGACTTTGAAACTTTTACATAGTTTACAAGTTAATGTTTGTGTTAAGGTTTGTTTTAAGGGAATGATTTATGAAAAGTCAATGGTATTTGGTTTGCAGTTGTAATAGCATTGGCACATCTCATTTCCGTGGAGATTGTTTAGCCCTGTACCTTCAGTCATGGTTCATTGACTTTGAATATTTGCATAACTTACGTGTTAAAGTATTGCTATTTTAATTTCAACATTTGCATTATCAAAATAACAAATAGGCGAGACATATCTCTGTGTTAAGTAATAACAGTTTATGAACTCACCCAGCCTATAAAAGACCAGTCAGTATGAGGTATATTTATTTCCAGAGAAAAAAAATATTCTCCTTTAAAATAAATATGCGAAGGGAAATTCCTGAAAAAGAGAAATGGTTATATTATCCAAAGATAGGCTTGTTCTATTTTAACTCTGCCAGTCTGTATGAAACACATTTCTCAACAACTACAAGTCATAGCTTCTTGACATATGGCACCAAGCGTCATCTTACCAAGTGACTTGCATTCAATTCCTTTGATTCACTACTACTATTAACAGTTTGCAGAAAACTTATACCTGTAAAATGTCATGCACATGTACTCATTTTTTGCCACATTTTCTCAGCAACTAAAAGTAATAAATAGCTTCTAGATATATGGCACTAAGCTTCAAATGATTACATATAAGGAATTTTTGTCAATATTTTTACAGAAGTGGTTATCACAAAAGGACCGTGTGCAAAAAGGGCTTAATTAGGTATAATTTTTACTGAAATTTTATCTTTTGCTTTAAGATGTTCATTTATGTCTGTTTTAAGTTTAGATAATACAAAATTGAATACCAGTAGTTTTTATACGACCGCAAAAAAATTTTGCGGTTGTATATTGGTATGACGTCGGTGTCGTCGTCGTCGTCTGAAGACACATTGGTTTTGCACTCTAACTTTAGTTTAAGTGAATGGATCTCTATGAAATTTTACCATAAGGTTCAATACCACAAAAGCAAGGTTTGGTTTGATTTTTGGGGTTATGGTACCAACAGTTAAGGAATTAGGGGCCAAAAATAAGCATTTTTGTAACTTCCAGACATAACTTGCATGTTAGTGTATGGATCTCTCTGAAATTGTACCACAAGGTTCCATATCACAAAGAGAATGCTGGGATTGATTTTGGGGGTAATTGCCTCCAAATTTTAGGAAATAGGGGCAAAAAAAGGGGCAAAAAAACAAGCATTTTTCTAGTTTCATGACAATAACTTGTGTGTAAGTGTATGGGTCTTTCTGAAATTGTACTACAAGGTTCCATATCACAAAGGGAAAGCTGGAATTGAGTTTAGGGGTAATTGCCCAAAAAGTTTAGGAATAAAGGGCCAAAAATAAGCATTTTTCTAGTTTCCAGACAACAACTTGTGTTCAAGTGTATGGATCTCTCTGAAATTGTACTGCAAGGTATCATACCACAGAGGGAAGGCTGGGATTGATTTTGGGGGTAATTGCCTCAAAATTTTAGGAATAAGGAGCAAAAAACAAGCATTTTTCTAGTTTCAGGACAATAACTTGTGTTTAAGTGTATGGATCTTTATGAAATTGTACTACAAGGTTCCATATCACAAAGGGAAAGCTGGGTTTGAGTTTGGGGGTAATTGCCCTAAAAGTTTAGGAATTTTGGGCCAAAGAGGGGCCAAAAAACAAGCATTTTTATACGCCCGTCAATTTTTGACGGGACGTATTATGTTATACAAATGTCCTGTGTCCG